CCATAATTATATTCATAATTTATTTTAGGCATAATTTTATTTATTACATTTTATTGCCAGTTACAACGTATCATCATGTGCGACGCCCACAACAGGCACAGCTCCTCAAACATTCGCCTCTGCCCTTCAGTTTTTTGCCGCCGCACAATGTTTAATCACAGAAAACTCGATACCGGACTCAAAAGTAAAAAGTACGTTTACTTATTTTGTTTATATAATAACTTATATAATATCCATGTCGCGGAGAAACTAACGGGCTACCGGGGCTCCGGCTTGACGTGCAAGAGAAGGAACGAGGTAGTTTTTAGTCAGTAAGAGTCTAACACTAATGGCGGGAGCAGTCATTCGATGATATTTACCCCCTAAAAAATATATTCATATACTATCTATATACTATACGAGGGTACGGGTTCGAAACCTACCTACGACAAGTAACAATGTGACGTTTCCCGAGTTATATGTACTTTCTAAGATTATTTAGACGGTGAAGGAAAACATCGTGAGGAAACCTGGTCTTATAATTTCTAATTATAATATAAGGCGTAGTTAGAACCACCTGTTACAAGCATGGGTATTTTGTGTCAGAAAAATGATAATAGAATGATCTGCTCGACGATTACGTCGAGTTCAGAAGTGTTTCTCATTATGTCAAAGTCTTACTTATCTACGTTCATTATTATTGTTTTTAAGAATTATACAAAAAAGAAACCTCGCCTACAAAATCTATATAGCAGACAACTACATTGTGCGGAGTTCTTCTAAAATACGAATAAAAAGTGATGATGTATAAATGACACAATTTTTATAGAACGCGTTCATATCAAATGAACTCACTTTGTATTATGTTATTTGTAATGAATTTCTGTCAGAAACTTTCCTCCTGATGTTAATTGATAGTTTTTATGATAACAAACGGCTTTTTTTCTTTTTTCAGATTATGAAACATTCGACTTTATTATTGTGGGAGCCGGTACAGCTGGTTGTGTATTGGCAAACAGATTGAGCGCAATACCAGAATGGAAAATACTGCTTGTAGAAGCTGGTGATGATGCGCCAATAGAAGCCGATGTAAGTATTAATTTACTAAATTTTATTCATAATGATTGTCTTTAATAAAGATATTATATGTACAAAATTAAATTTTAAGATTCCAGGTATTGGCGTCATAAGTTTGTTCAGAACAAAATATGACTGGTCTTACCAGACGGCACCTAACGGAAGGACCAATGGAGCAAATATAGGCAATTCAATTGACTGGCCTCGTGGAAAGGTTATGGGTGGAAGCAGTAATCTGAACGCCATGATCTACGTACAAGGAAACGATCAAGATTATCAAAATTGGGTTGACCTTGGTAACCCAGAATGGAGTGTCGAAGAAGTTCGTCGGTGTTTTAGAAAAGCAGAAAGTTTCCAAAATATGGAATTGTTGCAAGATCCAGAGATCAGCAAACACTATGGCCACGATGGACCATTGGTTATAAACACTTTCAACTCTACCTACATATCTCTTACTGAAAAAATGTACTCAGCTTGGAACGAGATAGGGATAAAAAATGTGGCTGATTACAATGTCGCAAACGTTTTAGGATCAGGTTTTTGGAGAGCAACCGCAGCTAGTGGGGAAAGACAGAGTCATAACAAAGCGTATTTAAATCCCATTCTCCACAGAAGTAATCTAAAGATCTTAAAAAATAGTTTGGTAACAAAACTGTTGATAAATCCTTTCACAAAAACTGCATACGGTGTGGAGTTAGAACGAAACTCAAAAAAGTACTCCTTCTATGTCAGACAGGAGGTAATCTTAAGCGCTGGTACCGTGAATTCTCCACAACTCCTCATGCTGTCCGGAGTCGGACCCAAAAAACATCTCGTTTCTAAGAAAATATCTGTCATCGTAGATTCTCCGATGGTTGGACAAAATTTGCAAGATCACTGTTATATTCCCATTATTATTTACGCTGACGTACCAGGCGAACAGAACATAGCCGAACAACAATTTGACGTCATCCGATACCTTTACAATCGCACTGGATATTTGGGACAAAATCCCGCTGCGAACATCTTGGCATTTTTTTCCGATAAACCTAATGCTACTTACCCTGATTTTCAAAGTCACCATTCTATTACTTATCGAAATAGTTCTTCAGTTCAGTCAACTTGGACAAATCGTTTCAGGTACAAAGATCAGGTGACTAAACAAATTGTAGAAATGAATAAAAAGTACGCATTTTACCAGTTGAATTTTAACCTCCTTCATCCATATTCTAGAGGTAATATTACTTTGAGGTCCAAAAACCCACGAGAGCATCCAATCATCAACCCCAACTATTTCATTGATCCAAGAGACTTAGAAGCAGCTGCAACTGGAATTAAGATACTTACAAAAGTGGTGAACACTACAGCCTTCAAAGAAATTAACGGCTTCTTGGGAAGATATGAATGGCCACCATGTGATAGCTATGAATTAGACAGTAGAGATTACTGGAAGTGTATTTGTTTAGAGATGGTACTCACCATATATCACCCTGTTGGAACATGTCAGATGGGACCGGACCTGAATACTTCAGTAGTAGACAGTCGGTTGAGAGTCCATGGAGTTCAAAAACTCCGTGTGATAGATGCTAGCATAATGCCAACACTGACCAGTGGTAACACTAACGGTCCAACTGGAATGGTTGGAGAAAGAGGAGCAGAGTTAATATTGGAGGATTACAACAAATTGTAATTTATTTCTACTTACCACTTCATATCTTTCAAGTTACGTTGTTGCTTATAGTGTTTATTTAATTTATTCATGTAAATTGAAGACTCTCAGACGCTATTTTTCTCTTTCGTCTTCAATAAACATTAAATTCATTATATTTATAAATAGTGGAAAACGGTGTTATTTGTTGAACCTCTACCTAGGTAGTTTATTTTTCTTTTGTTCTAAATTATTTCTAAAACTATCACTACTATTAAAAAAATCACCAGGTTCAGTGGGCAGTAGGTCTATCTACTCTTTTCTGTCAAATATTCTTATTAGATTTCCAACTCTATTGTTCGAGTATAAAGTCGAAATCCAATTACAAAAATTTACACATTGCAGTAGATTAATTTGCTGGCCACAGACAGTACAATATTATTATGACATTTGACTTACGAAATAAAATATATTGAAAATATAGGTGTGCTAATAATTTTTGTCTTTCTTTTATTCAAAAATTGAGCAATCATTAGAAGTGATTCTTTAGTATTATGACTGGTAAATCCAGAGGCTGTATTGCGTATTGAACTATTGAGCAAGCGTGGTGATTAATGCCTTACTAACCTTCTTCGTGCGAGAAGAGGCCTTCTGTGAGCAGTGACCACTAGGCTGTTGATAGTGGAAAAAGGAACTCATAAAACCAATACCTTATTTATTATTCGTTCCGGAGCTGCGGACAACTTAACAGGTTACTGGAACTCCGGTTCAAAGCGGGAGAAAGAACGGGGTGGTTTTTATTCAGTAAGAGTCTGACACTCCCTCAAAAACTCACAAAATTAGTTCATACAAAAGTAGTCTCTAAACATCTGAAATAACGTCTATAATGGAGTAAGATTATACCTACTTATGCTTACAAGGATACCTAAGTGAGTCACGCTGAAGTTTATTATATTTACACAATACCTAGTCATTCCAAATAGCAACAATACTTAGACTATTTCAATAAACGTGGATGGTTAAAACGTGAAGTGAAAAACATTTGTTTAAATATTTAATTAAGTCGAGTAATGCGACATTCGCTTTCACAGACTCACAAGGAATTAAAATTCAGTTTTCCTTTTGGGTGGAAGTTACGAAATGCTTTTTATTCATTACATATCCTCTATATCTATTCTATATCTATCTATACAATCGTAGAAATGTCAAAACTGTACATTAAATATTTTTTTAAAATGAATACTTGGTGCTTGATCTACATTCGATACCGAAGCCAAAAATATGCTTTTAGAATTTTCGTCTTTTTGTCTGTATGTATGTCCTAGATGATATCAAAAGGTACTGCATGCATTTACTTTAAATTTTGCATAAATATTACTAACAAGTCGGGTCAATATATAGGCTACATAATAATATTATCATGCTATCATCTAAAGGCGGTGACGACATTCGTTACCGTAGAATATTCTCATAGTTTTTTTTATGGAATAAGAGGGAAACGAGCATACGTATCATCTGATGGTAAGCGATCAGCACCGCCCATGAATACCCGTAACAACAGAGAAGTCACAGGTACGTTGCCGGCCTTTTCAAAAAGAGTACGCTATTTCTTGAAGGTTTGAAGGTCGTATCGGTTCGGAAATACCGCCGACGGCAGATCAGTCCACAGTTTTGCTGTGCGAGGCAGGAAGCTACGTGAGAAGCGCACAGTTGTGGCCTGCCAACCATCTATATGATGAGGATGCATATGCTGTCATGAGGGTCGATGGCGTAAAAGATACGGCAGGTATCAGACTAATTTATGATAAAGACTAATTATCATTGTATTGTCACTGTGTTGTTATACTCTGTGGTTTCTTTGTTTTTTCTATATGTATATAAATATTTGTATTTATTTCTTCTTTCCTATTTTAATTTTGTATTATTTTTATATCTGTGTGCGTGCCTACTGTCGAATTAATGCTTTTTCTATCTTTCTTCTTTCTTCGATTCAAAAGCATAAATTCTGCCAGAAGTCATTATTCTACGCTGACGAAGTCGAGGGCAATAGCTAGTTTATTATTAAAAATATATTGTTAAGGCTGGGTTGTTGTTAGTAATAATGATATTCTAATAATATAATGCATACGACCGTAACGCCTGTGGTACAGAATAAATTCTATACAGGCATTGTAATCTACCTAGAATAGACTATGAATGAACTCAATGGAAAAAATATATAATTATATATTTGTTTGTTAGTTTGTTCATTAGATATATTCAAACTAAAGCTTATAAAACTTGTAGTCAACCTGGTTTAGAAGCAAAGATCATACTGGAAGATTACAAAATATATAATTAATTATTTAATTTCAACTCCTCGTTGACCTAGTGGTCGCAAGTGCGACTGCAGGGCAAAGGGTCTCGGGCTCGATTCCCGGGTCGGAAAAAGTATTGCCGGGTTTTTAAAAATTACAGAAATAGCACGGAGTCTGGAAATGTGCCCGGTATATGGCAATAGGCTCACCCCCTATTACATGGGACTCATAACATAAATAGTGAAAAGTGGGTGTTACATTGTACAGTGGCATTAAGTGCCGTAATGTGCACCTCTGCCTACCCCTTCGGGGATAAAAAAGCATGATGTTATGTTATTTTAATTCAAACAAACTGACTCGTAGGCTGAGTGGTCGCAAATGCGACTACCGGGCAAGTCTACTACTGAGATTTATGTTAAAACCCAGTAATACTTTGTCGGACCCGGAAATCGAACCCACGACCCCTTGCCCGGTAGTCCGACATGCGACCACTCAGCCTATATATATACTATACACTTTTGTAGAAGTTTTACACTAACAATAGTGATACCTCTACCACGAGTAGTTGGCCGGCTGTTGCTTGGGGATATGGAGACTAGGGATGGGAGGCAGGACTGAGCCTACGGTAATCTCACACACACGGCGAAACACAACACGAGCATCATTTCACCACATAACGCAACCTCGTCTTACGATTAGTTCAATTTTGAACTAAAAAGAAACGACACTCTTCTGTCCAAAATTACACTTTGTATAACCAAATCCGTAGGTTTCAATCTAGTTTACAAAGTTAAAATAAACGACGCAGCGTGACGAAGTTAAAAACTATTATGATACTTAATTGAATATGAAAAAGTATGTAATTAGAATAACGCTATTGATGTTATTGTGGTATTTTCCAACAGAAGTTATATCAATATAAAAACAATAGTTTCCTCATACACATAGTATGTCGCTGAACTATAACAAAGTAGAGGTTTCTTTTGAAACTATAACCATATCGGAAACAGTTGCAAACTGACAGCCCTTTTTACAGAAGGTATGGATTGGTGAGTGACATTTTAATTTTAATTATTTTAATCTACTAAAAAACTTTATAATTTTTTTACAACCGTCTTTTGGCCTGACTGTTTATGTAGGTGCTTGATCCAAATTGTCTAATAATCGAAATGTAAATTTTCTATAACTGAATAATAATAATAAGGAATTTAATAATATTATCTTGTTCGTTTAATTTGCAGTTACAATACATCATGTATATCTCCAACGACTGGAGTAGCCCCATTCATCTTCACTACAGCATTCCAATTTTTAGCTGCATTGCAATGTGGCATCTCAGAAGGGCCAACACCAGATGCTAATATAACAGGTGAATAGCCTTTTATCTCTTTTATCCCCGAAGAAGGCAGAAGTGCACATTACGGCACTTAATGCACTGTGCAATGTAACACCCACGTTTCACTATTTAGTTATATTACGAGTCCCATGTAATAGGGGGTGAGCCTATTGTCACATACTGGGCACGATTCTAGACTCCGTGCTACTACTGAGATTAGTTTTTAAAAATCCAGTAATACTTTAAAAAACCCAGTAGGTAGTACTTTAGTAATAATTTTAGTATTATTTTTATTATCTGTGTAAATGTTATAGCCAATCGTCGCCGTTACCACGTTAATCCCTATAATTCTTTTTTTCTTTCAATGTTAAAATAAAATAAAATCCCTTCTATAAGATTTGAAAATACTTTACTTTAAGAATTTATGATACAGTGTAAAGAAATTTAAGACTAATGTAATCGCCAATTTCATTGTCTTACAGATGGACAAACATTTCATTTCATAATCGTGGGAGCTGGAACTGCTGGCTGTGTGTTAGCAAACAGATTGAGTGCGGTACCAGAGTGGAATGTTTTACTGATCGAGGCTGGTGATGATGCTCCAGTTGAAGCTGATGTAAGTAAAAAATATTTTAGCATCATGAACAAGCATTCAACACAATATAATATATAAACTGAAAATGTTTAAGATTCCAGGCCTGCACACAACGTTATATCATTCAAGGTACGATTGGGATTACGAGACAGCTCCTAATGGAAGGACAAATGGAGCTAACGTAAACGGTACTGTAAACTGGCCTCGTGCGAAGATGATAGGGGGTTGCAGTAACATAAATGCCATGATCTACGTACAAGGAAATGATCAAGACTATCAAAATTGGGTCGACCTTGGTAACCCAGAATGGAGTGTCGAAGAAGTTCGCCGGTGTTTTAAGAAAGCAGAAAGCTTACAAGATATGAACATGTTGAACAATCCTTATATCAGTGATCATTATGGACACAACGGACCCTTACCTATAAACTCGTTTAACTTCACATACCCACATCTTAGGAAGAAAATTTTATCAGCTTGGAACAGGATAGGTATCAAGAATGTGCCTGATTATAATGTCGCAAACGTATTAGGATCTGGTCGCATGCGATGCACAGCAGCTTCTGGAGAAAGACAGAGCTTCAGTAAGGCTTATTTAAACCCAGTTCTTAATAGAAAAAACTTAAAAGTTATGAAGAATAGCTTAGTTACGAAATTGATATTTAAAACCGGTTCTAAAACTATTCAAGGGGTTGAAGTAGATCATGACTCTAAAATATTTAAATTTTATGCTATAAATGAAGTTATTGTAAGCGCAGGAGCCATAAACTCTCCACAGCTTTTAATGCTGTCTGGAATTGGACCAAAAGAACATCTTCTGTCTAAAGAAATACCAGTTGTAGTTGATTCTCCAATGGTAGGACAAAATTTACAAGATCATCTTTTTATACCTATTTTTATATTTTGTAATGAAACTGGAGAGCAAAGTGTAGCTGATCAACAATTTGATGCCATTCGCTATATATATAACCGCACAGGGTATTTATCACACAATGTTGCCATCGATGCCTTAGCATTTTACTCTGATAACACAAACGCTACTTATCCTGAGTTTCAAAGTCATGTTGCAATAGTATGGCAAAATAGTCCCTTTATGGCAGATATTTTAGATTCATGGTTTAGATACAAAGATGAGGTGAAAAAGCCATTGATTGAACTCAACAAAAATTATGCTATTTACATGCATGCTTTTCATACTTTACATCCTGCATCGAGAGGGAGTATTTATTTGCAATCAAAAGATCCCCGAGTGTATCCAATTATCGACGCGAATTATTTCAGTGATCCTGAAGATTTAGAGTTAACAGCAACTGGAATTAAAATGCTTACTAAGATAATAAATACAACAGAATTTAGAAATATTAACGCCTTTTTAGGGAGAATGGAATGGCCACCATGTGATGATTATAAATTAGACAGTAGAGAATACTGGAAGTGTGTTTGTATGGAGATGGTAGTAACTGTATACCACCCTGTTGGAACATGTCAGATGGGACCCGATCCAAAGACATCAGTAGTCAACAGTCGATTAAAAGTCCATGGAGTTCGAAAACTCCGTGTAATAGACGCTAGCATAATGCCGACACTGACCAGTGGTAACACTAACGGTCCAACTGGAATGATTGGAGAAAGGGGAGCAGAGTTAATACTGGAGGACTACAACCTATTGTGATTTATTTTTACTTATTGGTTGAATACAATACTAAATGTAAATTATTTTTAAAACTTGTTTAGTTATGTTTCTTGTAAAGGGTTTATTTAATAAAGCGTGGGTTTGTTCCGTAGTCAATTGTGCCTCCTTTTCTGGCTGTATTAAGTGTAATTCCCACATTAAGCACCTGTCACTCTAAAGGTCAAAGACTCAAATCCGAGGATTATGACAGAAGGGTGTATTGCATCTTCTCTTGTAGATAAATTATTTTCTACCAGTGTAAAAATACACTTGACATACATCTGGTGTTAGTTACATAATCACATCACGCCTTTTATCCCTGAAAGGGTAGTAAGAGGTGCACATTACGTCACATGATGCCACTGTACAATGTAACACTTACTTTTCACTCACTATATTATATGTCCCATGTAATAGGGATGACCCTATTACCATATACCGGGCACAATTCCAGGCCCCATACTACTAGTGAGCATTTCTTTTTAAACCCAGAAGTACTTTAGCTGATGTCGAACCCGAGACCCCTTGCTCGGCAGTCGCACTTGCAACAACTTGGTCAACATGGCTATCAATTAGTTACAGCTAGGTATTATGGTATCTACTAACAATCAGAAGGCGCATAACCTTTGTTGCCACTGATCGCCGTCTGCGGTACCTATTCAATAAAAATGTGCTTAATCATTCCAATTGGAAACACTACTTCTACTTTTTATTTCTTCGCTTAAAATTGCATTTGTTTAAACATACATTGAAGAGTAAATACAATTATTTTCACTTGCATAGCGGGAATTACTTCAGTTTTATTCTTAAACTAGCGACCCGCCCCGGTTTTGCACGGGTGCAATATGCATGTATTGTACATAAATAAACCTGCCGTAAGAATCATTCTATTTATTTAAAAAAAACCTCAAAATCCGTTGCGTAGTTTTAAAGATCATAGCATACATAGGGACAGACAGACGGCAGATAGCGACTTTGTTTTATATTATGTAGTGATAGTAATATAAAACCAGGAATACTTAACTGGTTATTACTGAATTCCCTATTTACATAAATAATAAGGTTTTATTAGACGATTTGTACCAAATTATATTATAATTGATTTTTATCGCTCTTAGATGTTAATAAGATAACAGCCCACCTAATTAAGTTACCGAAGCTTATAATGAAGTAGGACTTACAACACGACAGGTACCATTAGCACCTTGCTTAACCTGTAATTTTTTTTTTACATTGACTAACGGATCGCCATGCAAAAGTGGCAGAAGCCGCGGAGAAGCAAAGGGTCAAAGGGCCAAAGAAGCAAATAGATTGGAAAGAAAGAATGGAGCACACATCGGCAAGCACGATGCAAATTCAAAGTCAAAATAATTTATTTTAATTAGACCAGAAAGGCACTTTTGAACGTCAATAATAAAATTAAAAGTGAAATTTCCTCATTCTAAGGTGTAGATTCCTATAAGATATGCAAGACGTCAGATGACACGGCAATGGCGTTGGCAGATGATTATAACGCAATAATAACAATATTAATGAAAACTGCAATCCGGAAATGTTAAACTAGTATAGAAAACTAGACGTTCAAATTTAAATAGATTATCAAGCGTGAATAATCAAGTTCAGAAACAATGACACCTAATTAAATATATAAGATATTTAATTTAAATATAATTATAATTATGTGTGTTTATGATAATTTTTGGGGGCTTGCCACATTTCTTTCAACATACCTTATGATATAAAAGGTAAACCTTCTCATACATGTTCCAGTCTTAGTTTAATTATGACAAAGTAAAGGGTTTCTTTTCAAGGAAATTTTTTACCCACATGAAATCAATTTGTATTTGTCTACGAATCTGATTAACACAAGGATGGAATGGTGAGTAACAAATTTGATTTATTCAACACCTATCAACAATCAACCTATGTCTATTTTTCATAGATTATCTTGAGAAAGGTATGCTGGTCTGTTTTTTTTTTTGAAAACTAAAAGCATACGCACAAGATGATTACTATTTAAAAAAGGCCTTTAAAAAGCTTTCATCGAGAACAGTATAACATTTCAATCTTACCTCTAACTATAGTTTCTAACAAAAGTGTGAGAGAGCCATGCTTCGAATGGGCCTGCTCAACCGCACTGATACCACGACCTCACAGAAAACCGACGTCAAACAACGCCTGCGTTATGTTTCGTGATTGAGTGAAGTTACCGAATGCCTAATCTTCCCCCTCCCTAATCCCTGAATTCCCAATAATTCTCAAAGTCGTAATCCCCAAAAGGCCGGTAACGCACTTGCAAAGCCTCTGGTATTTCGGGTATACATGGGCGGCACCGATTGCTTACCATCAGGTGAATCAAAGGCTTATCCCAAAAAAAAAACTACAGACCATATTAATGAAAGTATTATTTTTTCAGCTTCAATTCATCATGTGTAAGTGCAACGACGGGTGTAGCCCCAACCATCTTTGCATCAGCGGTTCAGTTTTTAGCGGCATTACAATGTGGCGTTACACGGTCAATACCAGATGCTGATGTAACAAGTAATTATAATATTATTTTTATCTGTCGACATCGATAAGGAGTTCACACTCACACATTGGAGCCCGGATGGTCACAGTAGTACAGTACAATTTCAGGCGAATTTTATCTCATGGACCCTCCGATTGTGGAATAAACTCCTTGCCAAAGTTTTCCTGGTATATATGGGGATCTTCGTGAATTGAATAAATAGGTTACATGGGGCTGTTATATATTAAATAACATTAATAAGAATATAATAATAAACAGCTGACGCTGCAACACGTGTGTTCCACTGCATTACGTGTACTTATTTTACATTTTTCCATTGACTCAGCATTTTGCAATAACTTAGAAATTATACCTTAGTACATCAGTGTGGAGTTGAACGTCGTCGCGGATAATAGGCTTTTTGTAAACCTTTTTATTAATTAAATATTTTTCCAGTTCTATTAAAAGTATTTTTTTTAAAAAAAGCCTACTGAGACCCACCCCGTAACAGGGCCATGTAACCTATTTACTCATTTTATATCAATAATGCCCCATGTGTTACAAGCGTTCGTAGGTTGCGTTAACCACTTACCATCAGGTGGACCGTGTGCTTTTTTGCCACCGTTGTGGTAATCGTCATTAATGTTAAAATTTGAAATAGCTTTCATAATATTTTAGAATAATAATGATTAATATCTGCCTCTATAATCGCAGATGGAGAAAGTTTCCACTTTATAATCGTGGGAGCTGGAACTGCTGGCAGTGTATTAGCAAACAGATTGAGTGCGGTACCAGATTGGAATGTTTTACTGATCGAGGCTGGAGGTGATGCTCCAATAGAATCCGATGTAAGTAGTGCATTAGAGTTATGAAAGATATTTACTTAATACTTCGTCGATTAATATTAAGCATATTATTGTAGCATGCAATATAACCTAGTAATACATACATACATAACCTCACGCCTGTTTCCCATGAAGGTAAACAGAAACCATGGCACGCCGATTGCTGCAATTCTTACATACCTCTTTCGCTTCTTAAACAGTCATCAGTCTTTTCATGCACACGCGTCGGTTAAGGGTACTTTTAATTTGGCCCTTCTTTAATATATCGCCAATCTGGTCGATATATATAACTATTTACCACTATTTAGCACAATGTACCTTTATAATAACACTATTATAAAGGTATTTAGCAATAATACGATTAATTAATGGAAAAATATGAAATAAACTATAACGGTTTCTGCAGATTTCAACTCCTAATATTTATCAAGAATACTTTTTTAAGTAAAAAGTCGTAGAAATTAAAAAAAATAGGAAAACACTTAATGCTTCTACAATATTACGTAAATTATGTTTTAGGTTCCAGCGCTATCCACCAGTCTGTATCATTCGGGTTGCGATTGGGATTATATGACACTTCCAAATGGAAGGACACACGGCGCTACTAGAGACGGTTGTATAGACTGGGCACGTGGGAAAATGATGGGCGGAAGTAGCAGCATAAATGCCATGATCTACGTACAAGGTAATGATCAAGACTATCAAAATTGGGTTGACCTTGGTAATCCTGAATGGAGTGTCGAAGAAGTTCGTCGGTGTTTTAAGAAAGCAGAAAGTTTACAAGACATGAGCATGTTGAATAATCCTTATATTAGCGAACATTATGGACATGACGGACCATTAATTATAAACTCATTCAACTATACATACCCACATATTAGAGAGAAAGTCTTAGCTGCTTGGGATGAGATAGGTATTAAGAATGTACCAGATTACAATGTCGCAAACGCGTTAGGATCTGGTCGCTTGAGGGGTACAGCAGCTTCTGGAGAAAGACAGAGCTTCAGTAAGGCTTATTTAGGTCCAATACTTGATAGAAATAATTTAAAAATTATAAAGAATGCGCTAGTGACAAAATTGCTATTCGAGGATGATTCTAAAACTGTTCGTGGCGTTGAAGTAGAACGTGAATCACAAAAATTTGAATTTTATGCTACAAATGAAGTTATTGTAAGTGCAGGAGCCATAAACTCTCCACAGCTTTTAATGTTGTCTGGAATTGGACCAAAAGAACATCTTCTTTCTAAGGAAATACCAGTTGTAGTTGATTCTCCAATGGTTGGACAAAATTTACAAGATCACATTTTTCTTCCTGTTTTTATATTTTGTGATGAAACTGGAGAGCAAAGTGCAGCTGATCATCAATTTGACGCCATTCGGTATCTTTACAACCGTACGGGGTATTTGTCACACAATTTTGTCATCGATACCGTAGCATTTTACTCTGAAACCTCAGATGTAACTTATCCGCAGTTTCAAAGTCACGCTGCAATATTATGGAAAAATAGTAGGGACATGGAAGAAATGTTACGAACATGGTTTAAATACAAAGACCACGTGACAAAACCATTGATTGAACTTAACAAAAAACATTCAGCTTACATGTTCCCATTTCACACACTCCATCCTAAATCAAAAGGGAGTATTTATTTGAATACATCAAATCCACATGATTATCCAATTATTGATCCGAAATATTTCAGTGATCCCAGTGATTTAGAATCTGCAGCAATTGGAATCAAAATGCTGACCAAGCTAGTGAATACTACAGAATTTAGAGCAATAAATGCCTTTTTAGGGAGAATGGAATGGCCGCCGTGTGATGTTTATGAATTAGACAGTATAGATTATTGGAAGTGTGTTTGTTTAGAGATGGCTTTTACTGTTTATCATCCGATAGGAACATGCCAAATGGGACCAGACCCTGAGACGTCAGTAGTAAGTAGTCGATTGAAAGTCCATGGAGTCGAAAATCTTCGTGTGATAGATGCTAGTGTAATGCCAACTCAAATAAGTGGAAATACTAACGGACCAACTGGAATAGTGGGAGAAAGAGGTGCAGAGCTGATATTGGAAGATTACAATAAACTTTGAAATAATTTTATGTATTCAACATTATATGACTTGTATTGTGTACTTACAAAATAATATGCTTCATCATTATGTCCTCCTTTTCAGTTCATTTATTTCAAAACTTGTTATCACTAGACTTTATCTGCAGGGCCAATGTTACCGTTTTACAAAGGCAGAAATAATTAAACAAACACTTAAAGAATTAATGTTTTAAACATGTAAGTGTATCTATCATTTTGTTATAAAGATCTTTTAAACCTCTTTGTTTTGTTTTTAATGTTTTGCTATTCTATTCTATACTAATAAAGAGGAAAGACTTGTACCTATTTTTGTATGTTTGTAATGAATAGGCTCAAAAAGTACTGGGCCGATCTAAAAAATTCTTTCACCAATAGAATGCTACATTCTTTCAATTTGACATAGGCTACATTTCATTTTGAAAAAAATAGGGATTATTGGTAAAATTTGAACAATGTAACCGAAGGTGTAGAAAAATGAGTCTTAAAATGTCTTTCGTCGAATGCGCTGCCGAAACTATTAGCGATAGAACAAAATAATGTAAAACACTATTGAAGAACATTATAATGTCTACAAAAAACTCCGCGGTAGCATATGTCCAACTAGTGTAGTTATGTCACTGCAACAATCCAAATTTCCAAAAATAAATAATTGTCTACCCCGTGCGAAGTCGGGACGGGCTGCTAGTGTTAAATAAAACTATTATATTTTAAATTATTTTTCTTTTTAACCTTACAACCAACAACGACCCACCAAAACATTTAGGATTATTTTACATGAGAACTAGAGATAAATGAAAACTAGAAAAGCGTGTATTATATAAATTCCACATTATAAGCTAACCCATCTTTCAAATTTCTCCGGCTATTGTGTGGAAGACGCCCTAGATAGTTCAGATTATCGGAAACACATTTATCGAGATTTGGCACAACTAAAGACCTAGTTGGCACCCCGAAAATCGTCGTTGATATATAAAAATTATGGTGAGAAAGTGCCGAAGTATAAAATAATAGTTTCATGTAACAGTAAAATAGTTTTGTGTTCTATAAAAATATAAAATGTTTTTAGTACTTGACTGCCTCGTTGGCCTAATGGTCGCAACTGCCACTGCCGGGCAAGGGGTCTCGGGTTCGATTCCCGGACCGGGCAAAGAATTACTGGGATTTCTTAAAATTCTCAGTAGTAGCACGGAACCTAGAATTGTGCCCGGTATATGGCAATAGGCTCACCCCCTATTACATAAAGTTCATAACATAAATAGTGAAAAGTGGGTGTTACATTGTACAATGGTATAATGTGCACCTCTGCCTTCTACTTTGGGGATAAAAGGCGTGATGTTATGTTTAGTACTTCATTCCAGTAAATTATAAGTTTGTAATTAATATTTAGTAGTTGATTCACAGTTAGCTTCTTTCAGCGTTTTTACTCATGCAAAGGATAGCCAACTTATCTTTAAAACACTATCAAAACTTTAGTGATTCAAGTATAAATACTTGGTGATTCAGTGAATCAAAATTTAGTGATTCTGGCGTAAATACAAAATAATTGCGTTATTCTAAATACATTTTGATTTTATTAATCCTTTTTTACATTTTCTTTTCGAGCCATAAAGTTAGAGGCCTGTGATAGTAACGAAATGAATAAAAAAGAACAAAATACACAAGACTACGGAAATCAGCGCTGCAGACTCGAGCCTTCGGGCCCGGGCTATAGTATTAAGATGAGCTTCGGCCTTTGCGCTGCGACCCACAATGGGTTTATTTTGTATGTATTTACCTATATTCTTATCTACGTGTATGTCGTAGGGTAATAAATGCTTTTTCTTTCTTTATTTCTTTTTACACAAAACAATAAAAAATGCATGGATATCGCGGCAGAAAGTACAAGTATAATGGTCATTCAACAGATAAAACCATTAACTATTCTTAACCGACTGTGGAAAGAGGCAGGCAACCTCATTGTTGGCGCACAGATGAATAGAAACGTCGTACAAAAGGTGTTTTCTGCGAACATCGATTCCTTTGCTTTTTTCCGCTCGTTAAGCCTGTAGTAAACGTGCTACTTACAATATAATATTTTTCTATTTGCGTTTTGGATTGGTAAATAGATTTCAGAGTGGTCTTTAGTTTTATTTTGATTTAATTTAATACATTCAATAACATTTATATTCAAGTACATTAACAATAATAAGGATAGGGAATATAATAATATGTAATATAAGGAAAGGAAAAGAATAAAAATATAGAGGTACAATTAAAACTAATAGAGAAAATTATATATATAATTAGTTGTTTTTTTTTTAAGGGGGGAAAATCATCGAATGACTGCTCCCGCCTGGGTGAGGCGGGAGGGAGTGTCAGACTCTTACTGACTAAAAACCACCCCGTTCCTTCTCCTGCACGTCGAGCCGGAGCCCCGGTTACCCGTTAGGTTCTCCGCGACATATAATTAGTTTACATACTATTTACATAGCTTTTTACTGGTTAAGTGTTGGTTACCGATAAAACTACAGATACGCACCACATGCTGTCGCATTCTTATAATGTTCTGGTAGAAATTTAGAGGAAAAACAAAGAATGTACCACTGTAAATGTTCGACACGTATTTTTTATTATCTACATAAATAAAAATGTATTTCTGTTCGTTAGTCTCGCTAAAACTCGAGAACGGCTGAACTGATTTGGCTAATTTTGGTCTTGATAGGTTCGTGGAAGTCCAGGGAAGGTTTAAAAGGTGAGAAAAAACTTTTAGGCGGTACGAAGTTTGCCGGGTCAGCTAGTGTCGTATAAAAAATACAATACTTAGACAAAACGAATTAAAAAGTGGGAGCTGACTTTGTCATTTATGAATAAAAAGTGACGTCATGCGATATTTCAAATCAGTATACCGTCGAAAGTATTTGTTTTTGTAACAAAATAAAAATACTTATGTGTCCAAAGTTTTTAAATCTACCAGACGGACTTACTTGACTTAATATCCTGTGTCCCTTAGATGGGGCAGAGGGCGTCCACTGAAGTTCTCCATCGCGATCTGTCTTGAGCTTCACGCTTCACCTCACTCCACGTCACACCTATGCTCGTCGTTCTGCCAGTACGGTGCGACGCCAGGTTTGCCGAGGACGGCCACGCTTTCTTTTCCCTTGGGGATTCCAATTCAAGGCTTGCTTGGGTATGTGGTCAGGATCCCTTCGGAGCGTGTGCCCTATCCATCCCCACTTGCGGCGCTTGATCTGGCAGTCGATTGGGCTTTTGTGGCATTTCTCCAAAAGCTCTACGTTGGAGATGGTCTCAGGCCAGTAAATTCCGAGAATGCGACGCAGACTTAAAATAAAAGTTAGTAATTTAGGAAAAGTTAACAATACCTCAAATATGTGTAAAGCGCAAGAGATTGTGCGGCAATTAAACGTAACGCGAAAAGAAACTTAAACGCAAGACATACATAACATCACGCCTTTTATCCCCGAAGAGGTAGGCAGAGGTGTACATTATGCCACTGTACAATGTAACACCCGCTTTTCACTATTTATGTTATGAGTCCCATGTAATAGGGGGTGAGCCTATTGCCATATACCGGGCACAATTCCAGACTTCGTGCTACTACTCTGTTTTTTGAAAAACCCAGTAATACTTTGCCCGATCCGAGAATCGAACCCGAGACCCCTTGCCCGGCACGTCGCACTTGCGACCACTCGGCCAATGAGGCAGTTAAACGCAAGACAATATCGAAAAAGTCGTAAGTCTGTATGTCTCTAAATGAGTAGGAAGTGCACTAGCTGTCTTTTGTTTAGAACAGACAATGTCGTTGTCTGCGGCGCACTGTTCGAAGGGTAAATCCTACTCACAATATAACAAACATGAATACACACAAAATTAAAGTAGACTGATATTATAAAGCGTCTTTTTATAATAATCTAATATTATTAGCTTTTGATTCAAAGTCAAAGCATTTATTTTAATTAATCCTTAATTAGAATTGATTTGTCAGAGAAGCTAGGTGCTCGTTGCAAAGTGTGGTTTTGAATGGAAAAGGACGAGCCAGAAACTCCATCGTTACTCTTAAAAAAAATATTTTTATAAACTCACAAATACATTATAATGATCTTTCCCTACTAAATATATGTGGGAACAAAGCAACGATATTATAACGTTAAACTTTAAAAAAATCTAGAGACAACCGTCTCATACATAGTGCCCACACATATACACTATTTATTGATGTCTTTAGTTCGAATTGATTATCTTTGACGTTGCCTTTTGTTAGTAAACTATTTTCATAAAATCCTTGTTAACTCTGGCATGTAGCACAAATGAACATTTCTACTTTAAACTAAAAAAAATAAAGTAATTATTTAAAATCTTTACATACTGCCAAGAACTAACTACATATGTATTAAACTCCTTCCATTTCACAAATAAACGAGGCCACTAGAATGGTTAAACTATTACACCTCCTACGATTGTTTCCAAATCGTTGTTTTTATTTGTTACTGATGTTTCACTTTCAAGTTTAATAGTAGCCATTATGGAACCCTCTAAGGCCATTCCGTACTATAGCCCTACTATTATTATAACAACCCAAAAGTATTCCACAATGCTAATTTTATCTATGCCCATACAAACTGCCTGAAGCGGGCATAATAAATATAAAACAAGTTTTCCTTCAGGGACTTCAGGTTGCGTGGTCGAAAGTATAACTCCTGGGGATGGGGTATCAGAAAAAAACTTCCTATACCTACCTCATACTACTATAAAATTATATCAACAAGCAATATGTAGGTACTACATCTGTTACATGCTGCAAAAAGATTAATAGCATATCTTGGTGATTAACGTTTTTCTTTTAAATAATCAACTACAGTTATTCATGTACCTAAAACGCTTCAGTATTCCGGTGTCTTCACGGTTGTATCTACTGTAGATCCTGATTTACAGGAGTTGTAGCGGTTTTGGAGGTTATGGCGGGATTTTACTATTAAAAAAATAGCAAAATCTTACTATTAAAT